ACGCGGCTGGGCTTATTAGCCGTGGGCTTAATAGCCGGCGACTACTGTAGTATATTTAAGTAGTGAGGAAAAATGAAATAACAATATTACCTTGCATGTCTGCCGTGCCGGTAACTGCGCGATTCAGCAGGACTCTCTTGCCCAAAAACTATACTTCGCATCCGTAATGTGTGAAGTTTACAACAGTATCTACATAGCTTTGTCAGTGTTCCGTCTGCTAGCAATATGTGTCTCAAACTATCTACTCCCTCTCGTCTCCTACCCTCTGATCAGTCACCGACTATATTAATATTAGCGATATGCGAGTGTTTACGACTGTTTTATGTAAGTGGTCGTCGCTTCAAACTTCCACGGGAACAAAACTTGTTTGACGAAATTCTGGTTAGTCGTTGCTCCTTCACCTTGTTCCCCCCCCCCACTAGAAAATGTTCAGTGTCGACAGAAAAAGTGGGGTCAATGCTGCGCAAGCGTATCCCATTATAATAAAATTCACACGCATGTTCATCTGCCTTTCCATGCCGTGAAGGTTCTTGTTAAGTTAAATGGATGACCCGTCATTGATCCAAACCCGAAATCTATTTTATTAATATGTAAGTCTCTAAACCATCGAAATGACACCAGAATGTAGTGGATTGAACACTGTACATTTTCCTGATGCTCCAATAGTAAGTGGGTTCTCGTCATTAATCTTATTAATGTTAACATTGCACCATTGTTATAGAATGGAGTAGTCTTGACTCCTTTCGCAGTTTATATCCAGAAAGTTGCGTGGTTCAGTAAAGTTATTCATGGCCTACTGGACAAAGATGAATAACAGTTTTAAGTATGTGAATGTGTGCGTTGGACCATCTACTTGTCAAGTTGCAGCGTACATCATGGTATTCCATGGCCTTATCTTTGTTGACCGTTCCTGATCAGCGAACTAGTATGAGATCTAATCCACTCTTGTCTTAGCCTCATACAGAGCAATCGCATAGTCGAAACTGATCTTGCAAGATCCCATATAACTTTCCGCTCAGCTGCAGAATCACGTGAAGCTTGAAGTTGAGTGTTTTTTTTTCTTTTCTCATTCTTGTCTGCTTTTTTCATTCATTGTCATTTCTTTTTCCTTGCTGTACTTTTAGACGTATAAGCAACTGCATGAAAAGTCGAAGGACAGCGCCAGCATTTCGTCTGCAACAGTACGTTAATCTTGTCTTCAATTTAGCGATTTAGTCCGCGACCACTGTCCTTACTCTGTAAAACTTATTTATCTTTATTGCTCTCGCCCTTTAAGGATGTCTTCTGTACTGCAATTGATTCGCTGGCAGAGGCTACTACAGCCATGCTCACCTATCTGCACAAGCTCGCCGAATGTCTTCTCTCCAGGCCCGAGAAGGTGCAGGACGGGTTCCTCTACCTGGCTCAAAAGGTCACCCTGTGAGTACTTTAAACGTTTAATGCTACTTCTGTTTATTAGTAGCATTAATTTACGTATGGAAAGGGTTTTCATGTCTGATGAAGACCGTTGTCCTCTTCCTACACTTTTTTTAGATCAGTCGCAGCTCGAATAAATAACGTTTCTTCCATTACAGTAAGCACTGATCCCCTGTAAAATCCCCACATACTGACTCTACTGTCGCAAAATGTATGCGTATGCTCATCAGTACTCAAAAGCCAGTGCTAGGTCGGAACTGGCATAAACTCAATCACTGGTGTCTGACGTTTCAGCTTTATAATCAAATCTATCAGTCCAGACTTCCGCAGTCTACTCGGCGTTTATTTAATGACTAACCCAAGCCTTCCGCCTCAAGGACTACGGAAGCAGACCAGCGGAAACGCGAAGACTTCGAAAGCAGCCGTTTCAGACTCTAACATCCTCTCCAACAACTCATGTTCGTGGCGAGTAACCTGTTGGACAATTCTTATTTCCCTCTCATACACGTTCAAGCGGACGAGCTTATTTAAGTAGCAGCGATTCC